GATCCTTTTCATTTCTATGCTCTCAAACACCAAAAACCCTTCTCACACGCCAAAATAAAGTCCTTTTATGTGTCCTGTAGATTTATTTCTTCTATAAGAAGTTTAGCATTAGGCAAATGGGGAATTGGAAATGAAGTGAAAGAAGTTAAAAGAATGGAAAAAGCTAATTTATTGATTCCCTGATCAATATGCCCAATGGTTAACAATCTGCAAGAAAATGGATGCATTTGTACTGAGATCAGCAAGCAAGAAGAGGTCTAATAATAATCTTGGGCAGGATTCCAGATGACCACAGTTAAATGCCCTAGGAAGCTCGAGTTTGTTTATTATCACCAGCACAGCACATTAAGTGTCATGCTTTAAAATCTATGCTGCTCTGAGGCACGAAAGAGGTAGTAAGACTAGTAAATGAAGTCATTGATGTCTCAGAGAATCCAGTCATCTTTCTAAACACTAGACTGTGCACGTCCTACCTCCCAACTGACATAATGCACCTTCTGCAAGACAGCAGTCATTTGGCATGGCTCCACTTTGAAGAAAAGCCCGAAATGAAATCCTGCTAACGTGGCATATCGAACCAGCCTTTTTTTTATTTCTAAGGCCTTCTCGGTGGATTCATAGTACATCTATCTCCATGAAACTGACTATAGCATGCTAGAATTACAACTGCCTCTGACAGGAGAAAGCATACTCCTAGGAGAACTTGACCAAGGTCATGAACCAAATCCAGAAGCAGCCTGCTCTCAGGACAGCTGGGCCTTGTGGAAAAGGATTTATATGGGCACCTGCTAGGCCCAGAGAATTTGTTTAGGCACAATCTGGAGGGGAAGGTATGAGGACACCGCCCTTGCCCATACCAGAGGGAATTCTGATCCCTCTGGAATTGGGTTTCCCTTCATAGCACATTGCCCAAGGTCATTTGATTTCTCTTGTATCAAGTTTAAGAGAGAAAACAACAAAGTATAGAAAACAAGGCAAGCATCAAGAGTGAATATTTAAAGGTGGAGAGAAGAGTTGCCAGCAACATCTCAGACCCCAGCACCATGGTCAGGTAGTAAGAGCAATAAGCATACACTTCTCAGCAAGGAGCTCTATCATTCAACTTAGGTAACTTGGTGATTCTTTTAATTCCATTTTCTTTTGCACACCCAAATATTGCTCAGGAGGCTGGGGGCCTCTCCTAGCAGTTCTTGACCACCTCGGCCAGCAGTTCAGTATGAGAGTCTGAGTTGTAGTGCTGATCAAACCCTGCAGTACTAGGGATTTCCTGGGCCACCCCAGCAGTACTTGGGGGTCCTTCAAAGTCACATATAGTGCCAGGGATTGAACCAGGGTTGGCTGCATGTAAGGCATGTACTATCTCTCTAGCCACTCTTCTCATTTCTTTTGGGAAGGCACACCCGCTCTGTGCTCAGGGACCATATGTAGTGCCAAGATTTGAACCAGAGTTGTGCACATAGGCACATGTTAGTCAAGTGTACTCTCTCTCCAGACCTCTCATTTATTAACTGATGTTATTTAATTCTACTCAATACTTCCTTTTGATATATTTTCTTCCAGTGGAAAATAAAGCAGGTAGAAAAACTATAAGTATACTTTTCACAGATCCCCCCCACCCCAATTCCATTGCATCCATAATATCTTTTGCTTTCAAGGGCGTGAATAGAGATTGCCCTAAAGTCCTATTTATTGAGCTAGAAAGATAGTATGGGGGTTAAGGCCTTGCATTTGGCGGACCCTGGCACCACAAGTGTTCCCCCAAGCACCATCAATTGTGACCCTGAGTATAGCAAGGTGTATCCTCAAACCCCACTCCAAATAAAATAAAATTCTATTCATTTAGCTAGGCCAGCTTCCCTCTTCATTTCTTAAAAGGCCCTGGAACACTCTGTAACCAAGAGCAGAGAAACCATATAGACAAGACTGATTTCGATTCAAACCTCCCTCTGGTAAACTTTGCCTTACTCTCAGGAGCTCACCACTCTCTCCTTTCTGCCCTCTGCACCTGTATGTAAACCATTCATGGGTCAGACCCTTTGAGAATATCTAGACCAAAAAGTACTTGAGAGCACAAAGCTCACGTAGTAGGTGCCCAGTTGATGTGAGCTAAGCTAAACCCACCCCACTAGACAACCTATATTGGCATGAACAAAGACAGATGTGGATGCAGGAGGAGAGCACACACCTTCTCAAGTGCCTTGCTAAAGAGAGAGCACAGTGCATTATGAAAAGGACACTTTCCACAATTGATGAGACTTCAACCAAACTGTATTGACAATGGCCTTCTGGCACATAAATTCACATTCAAATATTTGCAGAAAGATTTATTGCCCTTTATCTTATTCATGGACATCTAGAAAGTTCCTTTTCCCAGTCTCATGTAACAGAGCAAGTTTGGAAAGCCAGTATGTGTCTCAGCTAAAGAGAACCACTTGAGTAATTACAACTTTTTTAAATGATGTCTTGTCATTGAGTCCTACTTCTTATAAATTGAATCCAAGCTTGATAACTACTGAGGAAAGGGGTCTTTCCTCTGAAGGGTAATCTCAGGGCTTTTAGGCCCTTTCCAAAGTAAACCCAGCAGCCACACCTACTGCTGATGGCAGCATCCGTGCCAATCACCCCCACCCCCAGTATGTGATTTGGAGAGATGTGCTTGAGTGCTGACAGAAGCAAATAATTTATATAATTTCAAATATGAGGATAGTAATGGAGCTAAAGAGGAACTGAAATTACTAAAATCTCAACAGGGTTGTTAACCTATTATTTTTCCTTGCCACTTCTCTCTTCAACAAACTGTTATTGAGTAGTGAACATGTGCCTTAAAGTAAAATCATTTGGAAAGAAAAAGTGGCGCCAAACTACAAATCTAAATTTAGAATATGGGCCTTCAGCGATCAAAGATTTCTGATAAAAGAGAAGGTGCTTCAAAAAATGTACTGGTGGTTTCTAAATTGGTTGCAGCCCTATTTTAACAGAGCCAACTTTCGATAGACATAATAATGGACAATGATAATTTTTTATCAAAATGAGATCAAAGCGATAATTTTAACAGTTCAACTTTTGTATACTCTACACACACATATACATACACACCACACCAGAACCACCAAAAAGTTGAGAAGGGAATGTAATACACATACAAAGCATTATAATGGGATGATTCCCCACTTTGTAGGTATGTAGAGCTGTGGGTAAAAATCCCAGCACTGCCCCTTTAAAGCAATGTGGTCTTGATAATGTCCTGTTCCCTCTTTGAAACTCAGTTTCCATGTTTCTACAACAGATCAGGAAGAGGTATTACCTTGCCAACTTTGAAGGGTTCTCATGGGTTGCTGGAGGGCAAACTGTCACAACAGAAAATGGAAAATGTCTGAGCTTCCTTCCTGCCCTTGATTTTCTCTGCTCATACACCAAGGGAGAAGCAGCTCTATAGCCGAATAGATAAAAGTCAAAAAGGGAAGGAAAAGAAATACACATTGGCAATTGAAATGGAACCAAGGATACAAGACTGGAACCCAGTGCTGCCTCTTCCCCTGCTCTTTCATGTCATTGAGGAAAGCATGAGATGCGAATTTGAGCACTGAGTTTAACAGGTATATGGAGAGCTCTTGCAACAAGATGTTAATGGTCACTTTTTCAGTGTTGAATTTGAGTTGTGGGTAGCTGAAAGGAATCCCTTCAGAAGCAAACTTATTGGAATGGTTTGTAACCTAAGGAAATGGAATAGACATATACAATGTGTAGGTTATTTATTAAGTGGCTTAAGTACTGGAGAGCAGTTGATATTAAAGCAGTTTATGTTAAACTATCTTAAGAAATTGTATTTAAGAAAATACAGAAACAGCAAAGCCCACAGTGCTCTAATATAACTTCCTTTGTTTTCATATTATAGGAAGTTGCCTTTAAACCCTTATTAATCCTTTTTACAATGAAAACATAAAGTGATTTGATGTGAGCCCCTGGGTTTTGGGGTGGGGTTTCCGGGGGTGGGGGAGGCAGGAAGTCACATACAACACTACATCACAAGATCCTTTAAAAAAAAAAACCACCTTGCCAGGGTCAAACTCCACAACCAATCAAAACATTGCACCTTTTAACTTGGCTGAAATCGCTAGAGATAGGATGGTTTTAACTTGCGTGTCTTTTTGATCAGAGGGTTCAAAGAGAGATCTCCCCAAGTTCCGCAGGACTCCAGACCACTGAAAACCTAGCACCCAATTGGTATATTTGATTTCTTGCGGATACACAACGAAGTGGCCGATAACAATCCTCCACCTCTTAAGGAACCATATACCAGTGATAAAGAAACTCATCCCATTTGGGATGCCGGTTACTGAGATGGAGTGCCGTCCCCACACTTGCCATTTTATTAAGGGCATGCAGTCCCTTTCTAAATAAAACGTAGCCTCCCCGGTCCCCGCTGCATACCAGAAGAGAAACCCTGCCAGCACGCTCCGCAAACTGACAACTCATTTCAAATGCACATTATTTCTACATGCACCACCGAGAGACTCCTTTACTTATTTATTTTGAGAATTTCAAAAGAATTAGGAAGTTCTGCTCCCCTCTTCTATCCGTTCCCCCCACCCCAAATCGGCATCGGGCGCAATATTTAGTAAAATGCCTCAGCTAGAATATAGAAGTTAATCAAGGGAACGGTCCCGATAATTGCCTTGAGAATGCCATTTTCCCAATTGTTCCGTAGAATCATCTTTAGATCAGAATACACCGAAACAGTCCAAAAGCCATCCCCTCCTCCCAAGGTACAAAAAAACACAGTGCAGCCCGTCTCCGACCCAGCCAATACAATAATGCTTTGTAAGCTGAGAGCGCCCGGTAAAGCAGCTAAGTATAAACAGCTGAGGAGGATTAGGCAGTAGCTCCTTTCTCATTTACATGAAAATTCTCTTAGCAGCGCTTTCCACTGGCTGCAGGCACAGAAGGAACTCTTTTGTGCTATAACCACGCATACATTTGCATCCTTTGTCTTTACTTACCAGTCGAGGCTGTGGGCATGTGTGCTCTATTTCCTCCATGGTTTCTGAGGGAGGCTCATTGGAAAGGGATTTTGGGATACCTGTTTCTGACTCAGCATCAGTGGTAAGTACTGGCATGGCCAGTGACTGCTCCCTCCAGCTCTACACCCTCTGTCAGTCTCCTCCCAGGAAGAGAGTGTTCTTTGTCACGTATTTTTTTCTTCCCCAGCCATCCCCCCCGCCGCGCCCCTTCTACGTCCCTTCTTTTTTTGTCTTCCCTTGGGAAAGTAGAGAGGCTACCCCCTACCCCCTCCCCTTTTCTACTCGGAGGAGCCAAGAGGCGAGGCCTCAGTTTATCACTATAACAACCAGACAGCACTGGGCGGCGGGTGCGGGATACAGTACCTCATTTGCATGGAGCACGCTGGTTGGCTACTGTCATCATAGTACCACTCCACCGGGGAGCAGCCGGGCCCGATTGGTTGGCCGGACGTACCCACGGGACAGAGAACTTGGTGCTTTTGTTTCTTCTATTTAATTCAGTTGCGACACTCTCGGTTCGTTCTTGGGCAAGGGACCCAAGCTGCAGTACCCAGATAAGCTAAAACCGTTTCCTGAGGGGCCTAGGACGCCTCCAGAAGGAACATAGCAGACCTCCAACTAATTTAATTTTTTAAAGGTCCTTGTCCCTGCTAGGAGTGTTTGATGTGCTGTAGGCAGAATACTTGCCAAATAGGAGGCACCCTGAAGACAGATCTACTTTTGAGTCCAAACTCTGCGCCCACAGCTGCCAGTTGGCCTCCGAGGGCCTCTGTGCGTTTCTTGTGGGCATTGTGTGATCTACCCCTTAGCTACAGCCCAGCACTTATATATCCCCTGAGGCCTGGGTAGCCCGGGACCTTCCTGCCAGGAGGATCCTTGGAGGAAGTTGACTTTGACAACCTGTTTCCCACCTTTGCTGGCCCTCACCTCCCTCAAACCTGAATTCCTTCACACTTTCACACTTGTTTTCTTAATCAACCACCCCAGTCGAGGTTTTCCTCCAAGAAGACTTGCTGTTTGCCCTTCAAGACACGATTCTGCATGAGTACCTTTCCACCTGTACTCCCGTTTTATTAGTCCTAGGTCTTATTTTCCTGTTCATGGCAAAGAATGGTTCCAGATGGGGTGGTAAAGGTGATGTGCCTTCATGTCAAAATCACTCAGGAATATACCCCATTTTAAGAGAAGCAGCCTGAAGACAAACTCAAAGGGAACACTTACAAGAATTTATGTTCCAATGAAAGAAGAGACTTGTTTGGATTGGGCACTGCCTGCATTAATGGGATAGGGTGGGGTAGAGAGCTAACAGGCCTAGACCCCTGAGGTGCTGAGAGAAAGAGCAGGTTGGTCTGGAGATCAAACCGAGGATCTCATGTAAGTCACGTTCCCAGCCATGAAATAATAGGCTTCCAAGAACAGTAAAAGTCATGGTAACTGCAAGCACTTATTAAGTACAGACACAGCATTGAGAATCTTTAAGAACCCAATGAGGTCAAACATTATTATGCCCATTTTACAGGTGAGGAAACTGCAATGTAGTCAGTGCTCAGAGTCTGAGAGCTCATCTGCAGTGCAGCTGGGTTTGAAGGACTGTGAGGGCAGAGGGGATGCAGGGCAGGGACACAGCAGGTGAACTGGTGAGCAGTGTAGAAGTGGAGAAAGCACCTCGGTAGGAGTCCTCTTAAGTAAGCCAAGTCCCTGATTTCATCCATAGCAATCATATTTCATCCACTGTAGTGGTTTTTTCATCCAAATGTTCCCCACATTAACAGCAATACCAACAGCACCTGAGTATCTATTAAAAGGAAAATAATTGGCCCTTCAAGACCTGATTCAGTAGACCTGTAATAGAATTAGGATTTGCATATATATTTTTGTTTGTTTGTTAAACCACATCCAACAGTGCTCAGGGCTACTCCTACCTCTGTGCTTAGGGATCATTTCTGATTGGCCTCGGGGACCATATGGAATGCCACGATGGAACCTGGGTCATGTGCATGCAAGGCAAATGGGCTACTTGCAGTACTATCTGTCCACACTCTCCTGGAATTTGCTTGTTTTGGCTTTGCATCACATACAGAAATACTTAGGACTTATCCCTAGCTTTACACTCTGGAATTACTATTGGTGGTGCTTGGAGGACCATATCAGACACCAATGATCAAACCATGTGCAAGACAAACCCAATGTACTATAGCTCAAGTCCCAAGGAATTTGCATTTCTAACAAGGTCTAGGTGATGCTGATGTTGCCAAGTCTGGGAACAATACTTTGAGAAGCAACGGATGGAAAAAACTTCTTGCATTACCCCCTCACATAATTTTAAGGTACTTTGTAAATTAGAATGTACTTTATGCCAAAAGAGAAACTTGAATTCTATTTAAAACCATCACAAAAATTAACTCAAAAATAGATGAAAGGCTTAGATAACATCCCAAATCATAAATACATAGAAGAAAATTTAGGTAATACACTCTAGGACCTTCACATCAGAAATAAATTTGAAGACTCTAATAGCAAGGAAAAGAAGAGTAAGAATAATCAAATAGGGCTATATAAAACTAAAAGGCCTCACAGGGCCATGGAGATAGCTCTGTGGGCTGGAGCACAGGATTTGAGTATAGGTGACTTGGGTTTGATCCCCACCCAGCACTGCATGGTCCCCTGAGCACCACGTGACAGAACATGACTGGGAGTGAGCCCTATAAAAATATTTTGAATGGCCAAAACACATGAATAGATACTTTTCCAAAAAGTCCTATAGATGGTCCACAGATATTTAAAAGTGTTCACTATCACTTATTTTAGGGTAATGCAAACCAAAACCACAATGAAATCTGACCTCTCACCCAGTGAGAACGGCTATACCAAGGAGATCAGGGTAGAGTTCAGTGATAGAGCACTGACCTTGCAAGTGGAAGGTCTTGGATCCAATCCCTGGCACAATAAAAAATAGAATAGAAAAAAAGAAGAAAGAAGAAAAGAAAGCCTTGTATAAAAAGATTGGAAATAGGTGTTGGTGAGGATGTGGAGGATATAAATTGGTGTGATTTTTATGAAAAATGTTAGAGTATTCCTTAACAAATAAAAATGAGGGAACTGGGAGGTAGCTCAACAGACTGAGTACATGCTTTGCTGCAGGAGGCCTGGTTCGATCCCCAACACCACATGGTCCCTTGGACACTTCTGGCAACAGCACCCAAGCACAGTACTGGAAGACCCTGAGCACTGTTGGGTATAGCTGCCAAACCCAAAAATATTAATAATAAAAATGAGATCAGGGACATGACTTGGCACTTGAGCACACATCTCACAATCAGTTTGATTCCACATACCAAAAGAATTAATATTTTTTAAATTAAAAAGTGGAAATCCCATGACCCAGCAGTACCACTCTGGGCATTATTCACAATAGCCAACGCATGGATTCAAGTGCCCATATACACATAACTAAATAAAGAGTCTGAGGTCTATACGTTCAATTGAATACTATTCTACCATTTAAAAAAGACGAAGTTGTACCTTTTAGGATAAAATTGATAGCATTAGAAGTGATCAAAATGGACACATGCTCCTTCTTCCTTTCTTCATCCTCCCCAGCCTGTGAAACCAAGAATCTATCTTTCCTTCAGATGGGCACCTTCATTGTGTCGTCCACATCAGACCCTTAGCTATCCGGGGCACATTTGTGCTAAATCCAACTGACAAAAAACTCAGTCTAAGTCTTTGAATATCACAAGTTAAACTGCCTTGAGCCTTAGCTCCATAACTAATGTCATTCCCACTAACCCTATTCCAGTTTTCTCTTGGTTTCCTCCCCCTCCCCATGACCTAGCTATTGAATTTCAGCATGTCTCACAGTCCTAATGACAGAAATAGGCTCTTTCAGACACTGTGCTGAGAGGGATACCTACCAGCCCTACCCACTGGCATCACTGATGCCAGTAGGTAGAGCTCTGAAGTCTCAACTGCTATTATAACATGATTTGGGGGCTTCTAATACTTGAAAGAGTTATTTTAACATTGAGACTTCAAAAGGTTAAGATGATTATCTGAGAATGACCAGTTAGTTTCACACCACTGAACGAAATATTCCATATGCTTCTAGAGGTTATGTCAAGGGGAACGGGAACATTCTAAAGGGATGGCAGATGGAAGTTTATTGGGATGATGGAGTTGTTGTTCTGCATCCTCATTACGGAAATGGTTACACAAATCTATATATGTGTTAACATCATTAAAAACCCCACAGAGGACATTTGTAAGTACATGCTAATAGCCTTCAAAACATTCATACCCTTTGGCCCAGGCATTTCACTTGGGAATTTATCTCTCAAAGAAATAATCAAGGGAGGCTTGCTCTTCAATTCCTCATTTTCCCTTGAAAGCATTCCTTGCTTGCTCGTTTCTGTTTCTGTGTTTTCTTATTTACACTCTGGAGAAGCCTTTGTTGTCGCTTGAACACATACTTCTCTTTCTCTCCCCTCACATCGTTCTAAATAAGTTTCTATAAAACTACATTATTAAGGGGCTGGAGTCATAGTACAGACGGTAAGGCATTTGCCTTGTATGTACCAACCCAAGTCAGGAACTACTCCTGAATGCAGAGCCAGGAGTAATCCCTGAGTACCACTGGGTGTACCCCAACCCCCAAATTAAAAATACCTTATTTCACTATCACTGTATCACTGTCATCCTGTTGTTCATCGATTTGCTTAAGCGGGTACCAGTAACATCTGCGTTTGTCCCAGCCCTGAGATTTTAGCAGCCTCTCCTTACTCATCCATCCCAACGATGCCATATTGGAGGCTCTTTCAGGATCAGGGGAATGAGACCCATTATTGTTACTATTTTCAGCATATTGAATACACCACAGGGAGCTTGTCAGGCTCTGCCATGCGGGCAGGATACTCTCAGTAGTTTGAGGATTTTCTGAGAGGGACAAAGCTAGACTATAAGAGGTCACATGGCTGCAAATGCGTCATGCACTTGCAGGAACTTTGTTTCATAGTCTCTGGATCTTGGCTGTTGATGGGATTACATGGCGCCGGGGCAATTTGTGGGTGTGACTGCAAAGCTACTGGAAAATGGAGGATCTGGGTGGAGGGGGCCCAGTCCCTATCTGAGCAGTCTTGGAGATCTCTGCTCCAGGTCCCGCACACCTAGGTTCCTCTGCCGGTTCCTTCATGCGTGAGGCTCCTCCGAGCATGTAGAGAG